CCCTTCCTCCCCCCCTCTCCTTTTCGCCTCCTTTTCCTCCACACCACCCTTCCCCCCTCCCCCTTCTCCTCCTGCTCGCCTCTCTCCTCCTCCCTCCTTTCCTCTCCTCCCGCCCTCCTTCTCCCCTCCTCCCCGTCCTCCTCTCCTCTCCTCTCCTCCTCTCCTCCTCTCTCCTTCTTTCGCTCTTCCTCCCGCTCTCCTTCCCTCCCTCCTCCTCCGCTCTTCTCTCACCTCCTCCCTCTCTCCTTTTCGCCCTCCCTTCCTCCCTCCTCCCCGCGCCGCCCTCCCTCCCGCCTCCCTCCCCTCTCTCTCGCCTCCTCCCCCTCCTCCCTCCTCCTGCTCTCTAACTCTTCTCCTCCTTCTCTCTTCCCCTCTTCCTTTTCCTCTCACTGCGCCTTCCGCCTCTCTTCTACTTTCCTCTCTCGTTCTCTCTCGCCTCTACTCTCTCTCTCTCATCTCTCTCTCTTACTCTCTCTCTCTCTTTCTATTTCTTCTCTCTTGCTTTGTCGCCTGCCGCGCTCTCTCTCTCTCTCTTTTCTCTCTTATTTCTTCTCTCTTTTTCTCTCTTTATATATATATATATCTCTTTCTTATCGCTTCCCCTCTCTCCCTCTACCGCCTCGCCTCTCTCTCTACTCCTCTTTCGCTCCCCCTCTCCCTTTCTCTCGCCCTTCTCTTCGCCTCTAATTTTCTCGCTCACTCGCACCATCTCCGTGTTTCGTTTTCTATTCTCGTCTTTTTTTGCGCGGCGGCGGCGGCGGCGGAGAACAACCACCTTGTTGTCAGCAGACGGCGTCTAATCTGTGTGATTCAGGCGACATGATCATTTCCTCTCTCTAGCCTGCAGTTTATTTTTGCTAGCGCTGCTGCGGAGAGCGCAAGGCGGCGTATACATGGCTAATCCCTCCATGCTTCCACCAGCAATGCCACACAGCGCCGGATATATATAGCATAGAGGAGAGAGAGAGAGAGAGAGAGAGAGAGGCCGAGCAGAGGCCCAGCCAAATACGGAACCCCGTCCGCGTGTATGTAAGCTGCGTGTACAGTATAGCAGACGATGGCTACACGGATTCTTGCTCTCTCGCCTGCGGTGGCTTACTGCATAGTTTATCTATCTTATCTATCTGTTCTGTCTGACTTGACTGTCTGCTCTTATCTATCTATCTATCTGCCTCTGTCTATGTATGTATGTATGTATGTATCTGTCTATCTATTTATCTATTACCATCCATTCCATCATCCATCCATCCATCCCATCCATCCATCTATTCAATCCATGCCATCCATCCAGCCATCCATCCAGCCATCCATCCATTTCCATCCATCCATCCATCCATCCATCCAGTCCATCCATCCATCCATCCATTCCATCCCAATCATCCATCATCCATCCATCCATCCATCCATCCAATCCATCCATCTATCACGTCTATCCATCCATCCATCTATCCATCCATCCATCCCATCCATTAATTCCATCCATCCATCTATCCAGTGCCATCCATCCATCCATTCCAGTATTCCATGCGCATGCATGCCACATCCATCCATCCATCCATCATCCATCCATCCATCCATCCTATGCATGGCATGCATGCCATGCATGCATGCATCCATCCATCCATCCATCCAATCCATCCATCCATCCATCCATCATCCATCCATCCATCATCCAAATCCATCCATCCATCCATCCATCATCCATCCATCCATCCATCCATCCATCCGATCCTATCCATCCATCCATCATCATCCAATCCATCCATCCATCCATCATCCATTCCATCCATCCAATCCATCATCTATCCATCCATCAGCCATCCATCCATCCATCCAGCCATCCATCCATCCATACAGCCATTCATCCATCTATCCATCTATTCCGTCCATCTATCCATCCAGCCATCCAGGTCCATCCATTTCACCATCCGTCCGTCCGTCCGTGCCGGCGCGTCCCGTCCGTCCGTCCGTCGCTCAGTCCGTCCGCTTCTTCCGTCCGTCCTGTCCGTCGTCCGTCCGTCCGTCCGTCGTCCGTCGTTCGCTCCGTCGTCGTTCGTCCGTCCTCCGTTCGTCGCGTCCGTCCATCCATCCATCCATCCCATGCATCCATCCATCACTTTTCTCCCTATGCATCGTCTGCTCATCGTTCATTGCTCTCTCTCTCGCTCGCTCTCTCTCTCTCTTTCTCTTTCTCATTCCTCTCTCTCTATCTCTCTCTCTCTCTCTCTCTCTCTCTCTTACTCATTCTCTCTCTCTCTTAACTCATTCTCTTCTCTCTCTCTCTCGACTCGCTCTCCCCCTCTCTCTGTCTCTCTCGCCTCTCTCTCGCTCTCTCTCTCTCTCTCGCTCTTCCCTTTTTCATTTTCTCTCTCCCCCCTCTCTCTGTCTTCTCTCTCTCTTCTCTCTCTCTCTCTCTTCCCTCTCTCTCTCTCTCGTCTCTCCGGCTTACCTACCTCCGCCTCTATCTACATGTGGAATAGCAGCGCTTCACCCACAGCATCACACGTATGGAAGGGACGCCGTGCACGCGTGTGTTACATTTTTTACTACCTGCGAGGTCCGCAATAACGGGCACGGCACGCGGTAGAGCAGAATGAGAGCCAGCAGAGAGAGAGGAGAGAGAGAGAGCCGCAGAGATGAAGAGAGGAGCAGAGAGACGAGACGAGTGTGATGAGAGAGGACGAGAGAGAGACGACGCAAGCGGGATGAGAAGGTGAGATGAGACGAGAGAGAGGTCGAGAGAGAAGACGACGAGAGAGAGACGAGAGAGCACATCCTGACGCAGGAGCACGAGAGAGGGAGAGAGAGAATAAAACAGACAGACAGACAGCAGACGGGATGCAGACAGAACCAGCACAGACAGGACAGGACAGACAGCACAGACAGACAGATCGTACAGACAGACAGACAGACAGACGACAGACAGACAGACAGACAAGACAGACAGACAGCACAGACAGGCAGAGAGAGAGAGAGAGAGAGAGAGAGAGACGATAGCAAGAGAGTGATGAGAGAGAGATACTGAGAGAGCAGCGAGCAGCGAGAGAGCAAAGCCCAATAGCAGCTTCACCGCACGCATCCTCACTGCCCCCCCCGCTAGCATCCCGTCCGTACTTCTTCCTCCTCCTCCTTCCTCCTCCTCCTCCTCCTTCCTCCTCCTCGTCCTTTCTCCTCTCCTCCTCCGTCCCTTCCTCCTCCTCCTCCTTCTTCCTCCTATAACAACACATTCCATCCCGCAATCCTTCATAATACTCCACGTGTACCACCGCTGGCGCGTACTTCGTGTATACCAGACCGGACTACAGACCTACTGGCGATAAGGCGTTAGGCGTTAGGGCTTAGGGTAATGTTATCCTTACTAATACGTCTTAATTAATCTAATTACGTCTAATTACGTCTTATCTGATCTATATTACGTCTAATCTAAGACGTCTAATTACGTCTTAATTAATTCAGATTAAGCGTTAGAACTAAGCATGTACCCACACGTATTTCCTTGTCAGGTGAGCATTGATAGAGGGCGGGTCAGTAGTATAGTCAGCAGGGATAGAGGGCAGGTCAGTAGTTGTAGTTGTTGATGTAAATCGTATTTGTATTTGATTTGATTTGATTCTACATACATCGTATACAATCTAGTAACTTTCTTTCTCAATATAGATAAACTCATAATCTCTAAATTATAATATATATATATATATATAATACTCTGATCTGTGTGTGTGTGTTGCGTGCGTGCTGTGCAGTGCTGTTGTGTGTGCTGCTCGCTGCTGCGTGCGTACGTGCGTGTGTGTGTGTGTGTGTGTGTGTGTGTGTGTGTGTATAAAAGAGGTGTAGAATTTACTGCCAGTATTATAGACACCGCGTGTTAGCAATCTTCTCTGTGAGAAATGTCTGTGACGTCACACAGCTAAATACATCCCCTGTTCCCAGCATATAGGCCTAACCGACTGTGGCCGCACCGGAAATGATACAGGATGTCTGCTTTCCGTTACAGTCAGTGCTCTATATTGCCTGAGTTTGATTCAAGGTTCACTGCACCCTGTGTTGTTGTTGTTGTTGTTGTTGTTGTTGTTGTTGTTGTTGTTGTTGTTCACACCGTGTGTTAGTGATACACAATGACAGAAAGTTCAGCAATAACAGCACAATTTCTAATCGAAGAAAGATTAGAGAAGAACTGTATCAACAGCGTGGGAACATCGGAACAGAGCAGAGATGTTCTGAACTCCTGCATCCTACTGATCTTCTTATGTTCACTGCTCGCGTTGTTCATATATTGATTATTACTTATTGTTATTGATCATTAGTCATTATTATTGATCATTAGTCATTGCTATACATTATTAGTCATTGTTATTGATCATTAGTCATTGTTATTGATCATTAGTTATTTCTATAGATCATTAGTCATTGTTATTGCTCATTATTTATTGTTATTGATTATTAGTCATTATTATTGATCATTTGTCATTGTTATTAGAAGTTCATCGATCACAATGAATCATTAATCCAGTGATCACATATCGCTTTAAGTTCTGCTTCCTAATGTGAAAAACACGCCCTCACAATTAGTATAATTAATGTTGCAATGATGCTGTTGCTATAGTAACGACAATCGCTAATCACGTGACTACGAGTAAACAAAAAAGCCTATTTTTTTTGTTTATTTACTCCCGGTGTTTATATGATTGATGTACGTGCGTGCGTGCGTGCGTGTGCGTGTGCGTGTGCGTGCGTGTGCGTGCGTGTGCATGCGTGTGCGTGAGTGTGTGTGCGTGCGTGCGTGTGTGTGTATGTGCGTGCGTGCGTCTGTGTGCGTGCATGTGTGTGCGTGCGTGTGCGCACGTGTATGCGTGCGTGCGTGCGTGCGTGCGCGTGCGTGTGCGTGCGTGCGCGTGCGTGTGCGTGCGTGCGCGTGCACGGGTGAGTTCCACACACGGATGGAATCGTCACCGAGTATTGTTCTTTCATTGATTTCGTTTCTCCCGTCTTCGTGTTTTGCAGCTTCCCGAGGGCAGTAAGGCTGCGATGGCGATGAAAGTGGGTGAAACGACATTTCTTCTCTTCTTCTTCTTCTTCTTCTTCTTCTTCTTCTTATTTCGCTAACAATTAATATCACATTAAACACATCTAACATCGCATTTGTTGTGAATGGGGAAATTTTGCTAACGATTAATATCGTATTAAACACATAACAATTAATAACATTAAACACTTAACAATTAATATCGTATTAAACACATAACAATTAATAACATTAAACACTTAACAATTAATATCGTATTAAACACGTAACAATTAATATCGCATTTGTTGTGGATTGGGGAATGATCGATTGCATCGGAAATTTTGTGCGAGAGAATTCCCCACGAGCGGTTTTTTGCAACCTTAGTCTTCAGTACATGCATTTGTATTTGAATTACATGCAATGAAGATTTAATAATAATAATAATAATTATAATAATAAGTAGTAATAATAATCAATATATAATAAAATCCAAAAATTTAATTTTAAATTTTAAATAACTAAATAGAATAATAATAATAGTACATAATCAAGGCCATTGTCAGGAATGCTTGCGTCTGCTGACGCGAGCAGCATGCTCTGCTGCAGGCAGCAATACCTTAATTATAGTTCAATTATATAATACAATAATAACGTTATCTATCATAATAAACAGCATTGTTCATTTCGCATGGCCAATAAAATTGCACCATCACATCTTTTTTCTTTAGTTAATTGCCTTAAGAATACGCTTAACTAATCAAACGACACAACGAACAGCAGCAACATCTAATAATTATATAGCCACCCTCCTCTTGCCCCCCGTAATATACTTTTTTTAATATTTCGCCCACAACGAGTTACAATTATACTTAATGTTTGTATTAACGTAATATTGTAATGCGCTAATATGCTACTGGGCGTCTTTGTTGTCAGAAACCAAATAAGGCCTTTAACATTAACGTGTAACATTAACATTAACATTAACATTAACTTAAACTTAACTTCTTACATTGTCGTATTTCTCGTTAAACTGACGACAGAGATTGCTGCTTTCGTAAAATTATGAGAAAAATGTTCAACGCTTTTTTTTTTTTTGTTTCTGCGTGAACATGTACGATATTTCTCGCTAACTGTCTTCAGATAAAATGACTAGTTTTTTAATGTTCTAAGAGCTTAATGTAAAAGACAAATGTTAAGACCAATTTTAACCCTGTTTCGCTAAACGACAGAAGGAAACTTGAGAATCTAGAATATGCGTCCGTGGTGGTTACTTGCGCGCCAATGGCGTCATGCTATTTAGTGCCATCACGTGACGTGTGCCGTGCCTAAACTTCACACAGTGACATCACACGGTGACGGTCACACGCCTGTTTAGTCTCAAGCGGGGCCGTAAAGTGCAGTAAATTTAAAAATAAATATCTGTGTAGATACAGGCAGTAGATG